GGGGAAGGGAAAAGAAAAGAAGGCAGCGGCGTAAAATGGATGGTTAAGAACGGAAAACAGACAGCAAGGAAAAGGAGCAAGGAGAGACCATTGACCATTGAGTAATGAGCGTATCTTACCAATTGGTAGGCTGATGATGCCCCTGATGAGGACTGACCAAACCTGAAGTCAGCAAGGAATGATTCAAACACCCAAGTCATTATCAAAAATATAAAAACAAAACAGGGAAGTCATGAGGACGGGGTCCCTTTTTGTCTTAATCTTTTTCCCAGTTCCAGGACAACGACCTTGAAACACAAGAGAAAGGCCAACAAGCTGGACCCGTTTTCCAGCAGGTTGACGCCCCCCACCAATTGATGGAGCCTCTCCCTGGGTACTACCGTAGTGGTGCCTGCTTTTACCAGCACCAGTAGCACTGCAGGGGGAGTTTTTGTGAAAAAAAAAAAAAAAAAAAAAAAAGAAGTCTCCATGCCCTTACCGGCAGTCCTGAGTGTCAGATTTTGCTTCATTCGTGCCAGAAAAATTTCGGCATCGCTGCGTTTCAACAAGGCCGGCCACCAAAAGGCCTAAGCAGGGCTACCTTCTTCACCCGAATACAACGTATATGGTCATTATAGCTGTATATAGACGGAAGATACCCCAAATACAGATATAATGACCGAACGTTGTATTCAGGGTAAGAAGGTAGTTCTAGATATTCAGTTCCCAATGGTTGGATCAGCGGTTGGGGTGCACAGGCAAGAAAAAAAAGAACATAAAAAAAAAAAAAAAGAAGAAGAAGAAGAAGAAAAAGAACAAGATGACGGTGGGTCACGCTGACACGATGAACAGGCATCACGTGTCCCTGCCGTTTCAAGTTTCTCTGTTGGGAACAGTAAGGGAGGGAGAGAGAAAGCCAATGGGTAGTGGAATCCATAGTGAGTGTGTGTGTGAGAGAGAGAGAGAAAGAGAGAGAGTGAGAGTGAGAGTGAGAGAGAGAGAGGGGGTAAGAGAACGGGCAGGATCAGTGAAAAAAATGGTCTGATACAGGTGAAGTCATCCATAATCATCACGTCTCGCTTTATAGCTTCTTGTGCACAGAGACATGATCCAAATGTCCACAGACAGGCAGAGAATTCTCCCACATACTTTATACAAGACAATTGCAGGGTAAGGAATATTCAAAACCACGCTGGAAACCATACAATCACGAAAACAAGGAAAGCAACCATCTATACACAAATTATTCTCACATATCCAGATGCAAGCACGTTTATGCCAGATTCACAACGAGAACCACCTATACACCGAGCCCAGATGCACACAAAAAGACGGCGACAAACCACACAAAAAAAACACACTCACCCTGCTCTCTCTCTCTCTCTCTCTCTCTCTCTCTCTCTCTCTCTCTCTCTCTCTCTCTCTCTCTCTCTCTCTCTCTCTCTCTCTCAAGCCCACACACAC